GATGTTCACTAGGATGCCCAAGGAGAGCTGCGCCAGCACAGCATTCTGCAGGACGGCTAGCACGAACCATCCCATCAAAACAGTCCTGACAGAGGACGTGTTGTCCACATGTCCGGTTCTTTACGCATAATTTGCTGCCTTCCGTAAACTTCTTCAGTACTTTCAACAGGTACTAGATGCTTCTATCGGTCCTCCATAGTTCAATGGATTATGGTCGACACCGCTCTCGCTCTTTCCAAGAACTTAAATGCCATCCTATAACAGTACAGTAAGGGCACAGCTTAGACTTGTCACAAGTGTACACTTCGGCACTTCGGGAACTATTATGTTATTTTTCGCAGCTGGTTGGCAATGAAGGAACGGCTCCAGAAGGCGGGAACTTTGACGAATCAGTCACCCACTCACCCCGCGCCTTTGACAAGTCACCCGTTCCCCCCCCGGCTCTGATGAGCTGCCCACTCACCCAGATGAGAGGATCTCTCTCGACGGCGATGGTGCCTGCAGCTTGCAGGTTTGATTGATACAACGACGACTAACATTATTACTAGTAAAGAACCGAAGGTTTTCAATTACGTTCTCCGCTGCTTCTTCAGATGGTAATCGTTGTCTAAAAAAGTGCGCAGGCTCGGACGAGCACGACACCGATAGCAAACGGACCTGCTGATGACACTTGTCAAAACCTCTCCTTTTTCATACGGCTTGCAAACATAAACACCGCCGACGCCCATCATCATTGTCTAATCGTAACCACCATCATCATCTCTCCATCAGCATCGCCACCGTCTGCTACCTTCTTCCCCCGAATACAACGTACAGTCATTATGGCTGTATCTGGGGTATCTTTCAGTCTAAATGCAGCTATAATGACCGTACGTTGTATTCGGGGGAAGAAGGTAGGCAGAGATCTACGCAATTACTGATAACGTACTCGGTCGCCTCCTCTCACGCAATTGCAAATTTAAGAGAAAGGTAACCAACGGTCGTCAGTGCCTCCACCTACCGTCCCCATCGGCATCGTCGTTCATCGTTTGCGACTGTCGTGCTCTTGCTATTGCCTAACTCTCAAGGGACGTACGATCAAAATCGGCATTAATCAATCCTACAAGTTGGAAAGACACTTAGGAAAAAATAAATCAACGCAAGTTGGGAAGAGATTAAGAAGACACTTAGAGCAAAAAATGAATCAACAGCACAAAATGAACCAACAGCAAAAAATGAATCAACAAGTTGGGAAGAGATTAAGAAGACAGCCAAGCAAGGAGGAAGCTTCCGTTCTAAAGAAAGAAAGAAAAACGACTGGTAGAAAAAAAAAAAAAAACTAAAAATGAGGTGAGCAAAACACGATAAAGAAGAAAGGGGAAACACAACCGATCGGTCCGGAAAATGCAAGGAGGTTCACGTGACAAACGACACGTCAACCACGTCAACCATCACCTTATCTCTTTCCTTTTAACCAGGAGGAAAATAAAGGGGAAAAAAAAAAAAAACAGCACACTCTCATCGATCGTAACAGCCACACCTACCCGAGCATGGATCTACCCAACAATGTTGCGGTCATTGTATCTCAGACGGTCGGGGGCCAAGTCCCACTAGCAGCGTTGAGTTTCCTCAACGCCTGAATATGGACGTGTTTGTGGAGATGTGCGGTTGAGGAAACTCAACGCTATTTCTGCACATCTCCACAAACACGTCCAGATTCAGGGGCTGAGGAAACTCAACGCTCCTAGTGGTACTTGGCCCCGGGAGTGGCTAAGATACGAAATACATTCATACACAATAATGCAAGGAAAAAGTATCATCACCGGAAACGCATCTAGCATACCTTCTTCGCCCGAATACAACGTACGGTCATTATAGCTGTATTTGAGGCATCTTCCAGTCTAGATACAGCTATAATGACCGTACGTCGTATTCGGGGGAAGAAGGTAGTCGGCTTTGCAGTCGCTTACTGCAGTCGCGGTACGAGTACGGCCCGACGATAACGCCCAGCTTATTAGGCAGAAAGCAAGATCAGCGAGTAACTAAACAGAGTCTGGACGAGGGTCCATATTCGGGAGCTTAAAGTGAACGGGACTAAAAGCTAACACGAGAGGAACACCAGGCAAAAAGCGGGAAAAAAGTTAGCAAAAGAGGCAATAGGCTTCAAGTTGAGGAGGAAGGACATGGATGTGACCCCAGACGAGATAAAGCGCGAGATATGATGTTAAGACTACCCCGTGAGTCATCCAGGAACCGCGAATGGTTTATGGCGTACAACCGCCCCCGGCCTTTAGATGGAGTAGAATAGCAACGGCAGCCAGGATGGAATAACAAGAAACAGTCCAACAATGACTTGCCTTGCGTCTCACCCATTCATAACTACGCGTTTGGCCCCCCTCCCCGCTGTAGTGGTTTCGCCCCCTTCCCGCTCTAATGATGCCGGCCAGCGAAAAGTTCTATCCTACAGCAAATGTTCTCCGGTCTTATGGTCATCCCTCCGTTGTATCGCGGAGGAAGAAAACCCCAACGCGGTTTTCAGTGGCCTTTTCACCTCAAACTCCTACAAATGGGTCCCTTATCTCTTCTACCTTTACTGCATGCCGTTCTCACTGCTTTGCGTTTCTCGCATATCATCGTGAGAAATTGAGCAAGGACGTAAGAGCGTGCGGACACAGAAAGAACGTAGGCTTAGCATCATAGCCTGCACAATCACTGAATGACGCATCCGTCCAGCCCTGGATACACCCTGATCCATCGGACGTTGTGATCATGAAGAAATTTTTTCGCTGCTTCATTCACAACCGTGTATAATTCGTACCGTTGTCGACGTTGAGAGCCACAAAGTGGCTTCCAAGGTGTAGTTTTATTACCGCTATGGAAGCGTGAAAGGGACAGCTGGGACACGGGGAGAAGAAAAAATGTTGTGCTTCTTGTCCCCGCGTGCCCCCGCGTGCCCCCGCGTGCCCCCGCAGATCGGTTTGCCGATTGATGTCAGCTACTCACATCTTCATCTCCTCAGATGCCAGATTTCCCCGCGATACAAAAGATACAAACGAAGGGGAAAAACACTGCTGTTGCTTGGCGTTGCTCGGCAAACCAGTTAGCACTTCTACATTAACGATTTGTATTTCTCACTCTCTTCTTTGTCAATGCTCATATGCTTTTGTAAACCCTTTCCTCCTCCTTGCCCTTGTTCGACCTCGATGCACCTTTGTGCAAACAAGTTCCCGACGAGGAGCGCGGAAAGAAAAACACCAGCGTGTGTGCAGGGTTAAGCACAGTGCTCACGAGCGAGGAGGCGAGAAACTGTACCCTGGTTGTTTGGGTCGAAACGGACGAAAATTTTATGTACGGATCGCGCTGAGGTAAATCCATATTGCTGGCGAAAAGCGGCGCGCGCGCGCGCCCGTCAAGCTAACGACTTGCGCAAACGTTTCCTATGACACATGCTACACATGACACCCGCGCGACGGATTGTTTCAGAGCTTCAGACAGGCTCACTGATGGACTGAACGCCTGCCTGCGTATGTGCGTGATCTGGATGCTCGCCCCAGGAGAAGGAAGGGTAATGAATGGGCCGAGGAAAATCATAACGAAACGTGTACGGAAGGGAAAGAGGAGGATGAGGTAGCTGGGGAGACGGCAAACGGCGAAGGCCACGAAGCCGAAAGGAGGGACAAGAACATAAACGAGACATAAAAATGGCAAAGCAAAAGTATCGACGAAAAGCACTTGCCAGTCTACGGTGTCAGAAAGAGAGAGAGAGAGAGAGAGAGAGAGAGAGTTTTGGAAAATGGTTTGTAGCTCCGTCGTTAATGTGCCGTCTGTGGATCCGACATACCCTCCATCCCTTCTTCCACAGATCAGACAGGGGAGGGGATGGGAGAAGGGGGGGAGAGACAGAGAGAGAGAGAGAGAGGAGGCAGAAGCGACGGATGTGCAGAAAGGGAATGGAAGGGGAAAACAGGGGAGGACAGGGGAAGAGGGGAAGAGGGGAGGGGACGGGGCAGCAGAGAGCAAGAGAGCGAGAAATGAAGAGAAATATGGAAACCCTCTGCTTCCTCGTCTGATTTCTTAGATTGTGTGTATATAGATTGCGGCGAGGTTCGCAAACAGGCAAGAAGTACCTTCGAGTAACCACTCCCTCCTCCTCCTCCTCCTGCCCCTCCTCGCCAAACCTCGCGTGCCGCGCTAGAGTTGCCATTCCATTCCAGCACGCACGGACATCGTTAAGATCCGACGACTCATTTAACCTGCCGCAATTGCTGCACGCGAATCGACGGCTGGGAGATCGCCTCGGAAAGGGAATGTGCCCTTTCTCATAGTTACGCCGTCCATCGCCGCGAAGGCGGCCTTTGACTTTCCCTTTGCCCCTCCCCCTCCCATTCCCACGTCCGACACTTCGGCCTTCCCCCCTTTCATCATCTGGCCCTTCGTGCGCACCACCACCGTCTCCTCTATCAGTTGTCTTCACGGTGCAGTAATAATACGAGGACGACCTAGCCGATTGCCTGCGTCTGCTTTCTATTCTACCGCCTAAAGCAAGAGGAGATCTAGTCTCGATTTCAGTAGAATGAAAGGACGAGGAGGAAGAAAGAAGAGCGCGTGTGTCGGCAGACTCGCGGGGGGGTCCTGGACTACCGCCATCTACCGACGGAGTATGCGTAGCCGGAGAAGAGCGCGCGAACGAGAGATGAACACGACGACCACCACGGGCATGAGAAACGTAACGATGGGGGTCTTCCTCTACCTGCAGTTCCTCCTTATGAGGATAATCGCAACGGTGCAAAGAACGTTGAACATTGTACCGATGATGATCATCACGATGATCAAGATGGACGGAGCGACCGCGAGAAGAAGCAGCAGGGTTAGGAGGAGAAGGGGAAAAGGAGGTACTAGTTTGAGCAGCAGTCAGAGCCGAGGGAGAAAAGGAAGAAGACATCCGAGGTGAGGGAGGAGGGGAGATTGAGGAGGGGTCAAGAAGGAACGCGCTTGTTTCACGCGTGTTTTCGACGGAATACCTTCTCTTTTCGCCCTCGTGAGCTTGCAAGATCGTCGCCATCCCCCAGGCTTCTATCTTCTTTTTCATCCCCAACGTCATCTGCAACTGCGTCGTCGGCGGCGGCGGCGGCGTCACGCGCCTCCGTCCCCCCACTTGTTGCGAGGAAGGAGGCAGCGCCGACAACGGCTCTTGATGTTGCGGCGAACCTTCCGTCCTCTTTTTCCGTGTTGTCTGCCCCGCCGCCAGCGTCGTCGTCGACGTTGTCAGGCCCGCCGCGCACCGATCGCCTTCTCCGATACTATCCCGACATTCCTCCTCCGCTCCAGGTTCCAAATGACGATACACGCCACCTCGACGAAGATCCCACCGCTCCGCCGTCGTGACTGGCTGTTATGGAGGGGGAGAAAGGAGTGAAGTGTCACCCGCTTGTGTTCCTCCGGTCCTTGCCGTCCTCGACCGACTCCTCGCCACAACACGCAACAGAGCTCTTCAATTCACCTCGATCGGCGTCTTGATACCGCCCCCAAAAGCAAAACCCTTCCCTGCTCCTCTCTCTCTCTCTCTCTCTCTCTCTCTCTCTCTCTCTCTCTGTCTGTGTGTGTGTGTCTGTGGACCTCGCCGTCGCCGCTTCACTCTGTTTGCCCGTCCGTCCTCCCCATCAGTGTACAAGTAATTCTCTGCACACTCTCACGTTCCGAACCTCAGATCAGAATGATCGCTGCTGCTACTGCTGCTGCCGCTGCGGATGCGTCGGATTATGTTGTTCCTGCTGCTGCCTCTCCAAGAAGAGCAACACACAAAACCCCTTCGTATCCTCAACCGCCCACCCTCTCCTTATTCTCTGCTCCTCCGCTCCTCTGCCTGATGTGTATGAAAGATAGCCAGCATCCAACGTGGCGCCAACACGAATATCGACAGCGACTGACGCCTGGACCATCCGCCGTCCTGATCGGACCAGTGGACGGCAGACGTAAGGCCCGCGACCTCAGAATGCAGAGAACGGCGGGAAATTGGAGACAAGCTGGGCAATACACATGGGAATGGCTAAGTGGCTATACGAACTTGTGGGAGAAGCACATCAACCTCTCCCCACCGAGTTGGGAGGCGCACAGACAAGGCACAGCAACGACCCTCGCGAAAGGAAAAGATAGCAAACGTTGAGATACTCAGCAGGGAAACAACACAAAAGGTATGTGGGACAACGGAGAGAAACAGCTTCAGGGATGACGACATAAAATATTTAAGGAATGAGGGAAGGCAGGGGGGTGAAAGAAAGGAAGTGAGCCGTAGGTCCTGACGCAATGCCCAGCGAAAGCTGTGAGCTTGACGGATGCTTCGCCCCCGTGACGTTGTATATTCACCCCTCCCTCTCTCCGTCTCTACCCCTAACGAGTAGCCGTTGGGTGCCTCCTCCGCGGGTTGCCACGCGCCGGTTCGTTCCAGACCCTTCACCTCCGACTCTCAGCTCATACTGAGCTGATCACTTCGTAAACCTCTTAGCAGCAAACACCCCCATGTGGCAGAAGCAATCGCAGGCCCCCTCTCCAGCCTTACTCGTCTCGCCACCCCAGACAGATGGATGAAAAAGGAAGGGACAATCAAACGAGATCGCAGAAAGGCTGGACAGACTCAAGACGAACATCCGGGAGCAGAAGAGAGAGAGAGAGGGAGAGGGAGGGAGAGAGAGAGAAGGCGACGTAAATAGAAACACATAGGGGCACAGAGAGAGAAAGAGAGAGAGAGAGAGAGAGCAGAATAGCGTGTTTACAGAACGAGAAAAGCGGGTCGGACGATGAGCCAAATATCAGAACAGAGAGATAAACGGGAATATCGGCCAGGTGCAGGGAGACCCACCCCCTCTGAATCAGACGTGTCCAAATGGTAGCATAGCAAACCTGGCGGCCCTTCTTCAATGACGCCAATCGCAATCCCGATCAAGTTCCACCCACCTACAGGACAGCCGTCGCGACACCACACGGCAAACCACGTTGCAAGCGCTAATCTTGTGGACGCCTTCTGCGAAAAGACCTACATCATCTTTCTGTCGAATTTTCCGATCGTCCGACGACTGCTCCACAGCGCCCTACTTACTTTTCGACACACCACTTCTGCGCTCCTCGTCGCCGTCTTCTCCCCACCTCTTCCAACGGGTGAAAACACCACATGTGCGGTGGAGATTGAAAAGAATTCCACCTCCCTGCAGCGCTTTCACTCACGGCTCTACATTCTCTCTCTCTCTCTCTCTCTCTCTCTCTCTCTCTCTCTCTCTCTCTCTCTCTCTCTCTCTCTCTCTCTCTCTCTNCTCTCTCTCTCTCTCTCTCTCTCTCTCTCTCTCTCTCTCTGTGTGTGTGTGTGTGTGTGTGTGTGTGTGTGGACCCTTTTGTGCGCCTTCCTCCCTCTTCTCCCGCGCAAGCGAACACGCATGCACGGAGAAGATTGTCTTCAGGAGGTGTCAATGAGAGGGCTGCTTGTTAAAGCACCAGGCACACACAGTCAGCAGCGCACTTGAGGGCCCAGCAAGAAGCAGATGTGAGTGTGAGCATGAATTGGCCGGTTGGTAGCCCGCCGGCGCGCGATTGTCCGGCCGTCGAAGAAAAGCGGACGACGCCCACGAAAGTCCGCGCCCAAGACTCGCGTGCGCACGCATTTCCGCGTGGCACGAGTTAGAAAGCATGCGGAAGCAAGAAATCCGCAGGATAGAACGGGAGGAGGACGAAGAAGAGGAGACGAGCGACGGCCCAAAGGAGTCCTACTACAGCCAGCACGAGCGCCTACTGGCAGCACGAGGCGGGGCGAGGGTGACAGAGTGCGTGACGAAGAGAGCGAGGACGGAGGGCGGAGAGCAGGAGGCGGCGTCTTTAGGCAGACACCGCCTTCTCACCGTAGCTAATCCACACCTAGTACAGCCCGTCTTTTCTGACGACCTAAGCTGACAGTCTCAACCGTTCTTTTGTCCCTGCTGCGGTCTATAGGCACGAAGACACATGCGACAAGTGACAGAATTGGTCCGTTAGGCGCCGCAGTTTAAATTGCACACACAGAGCATGTGTGACCGATGAATGTTATGACCGACGAGTACTTCAACGATACCATCCCGCAATAACTCTCCGGCACCGGCCTGCCTCGACCCAGCTCGACATCGCCCCGGCCTCCTCGTCCTCCTCTACTTCCACTCCTCTTCCCCCTCCTCGTTTTCTCTTCTGCGCGACAGGGCATCGCTCATCCACTGATCCTCTCGTCGTCTCACACCCCCCTTCTCCTCCCCTCCTCCTCTCTCTGCCTCCCTGTCTCCTTCCCGAATTTTGGCCTGACGCCAGTGTGCGCACACTGGCAGGTCGACAGCAAATCGAACAAGCAAACAAAAACAGCAAGCCAGCCCGATGAAATATGCGCACGTCCGATCGCAGATTGTGTCCGCAGTCGCCCGCCGTCGAGCGGATCCCAACGGACCACGAAGGTTGTCCTCCTTTCCCCTGTCCCTCCTTCTGTCCGCCGAGCACCTGCGCCGGTAGCCGCTTCCGCTGTGCTGCGGTGCGGTTGCCGTTTGCCGGCGCTTGCCGCCTTCCGGTTCTATGCGTGGGCGCCTTTTTCTTTCTTTTTTTCATTTCTTTCGCCGATAGCTACCCACCCGGCTGTGTTTTTTTTTCCTTCTTTTCTCAACCCTGTGCTCTGTTTCGCGTCACGCACTGCTGGAGCAAAACTTTCCCGATTAGTATTCACTTTCCATATCAGGACATCCGCGTACCGTCGCAAACAGCAGCAACTGCTCTTACGCGGGAGGTCCACTGTCGCCGAAGAAGTAGGGATCCACCAAAAAATAAAAAATAATAAAAAGGGTAACCCTGACGACCCTTTTCCTGCATCAGCCATTTGAAATTAAAAAAAAGGCAACCCTGACTGACGACCCGCCATCCCGTTCCCCATCGCATCTCCCCCAGCCCCGCTCTCCCATCAATTGGGCATTAGAATCCGCAAATCCGCAAATCCGCAATTGGGCACTGCTGGGATCCACCCGCGCACGTACGGAGCAGACGAGAGGGGATCATCGTCCAGGAAAACGCGGGAATTCGTCTGCATGTCAGTCAGTCTTTTCTTTCTTTTTTTTTTTTCTTTTTGGACCATTTCTCGATTTATGCATGTCATCCTTGCGCAGGGGCCATGCAAACCTTCTCTGTATCGTTCCAATTTTAACGGATGTCCCGAAGGACTCAGTCAGTCTTTTCTGAGAAAAGTACAGAGGGTTCAATTCTCAGCTCTCTGACGTGCTCAGACGGGCCACAGAAGCGGGGCAGTCGGACCCATAAGCCGTCCGAAAACGGAGGAACAAACCAGCCGCACGGAAAAGGCACCACACCAGACTACGGAAACTGTGGAACCACCCAGCCCAGGGACCCGCCCAAGGACCCGTGCCCAAGCCGCCACCGCAGCAATCCCGGACCTATGTTTCGAGAGCTCGACCTTGGGCGAGCTTGGACCAAGGAGGGACAGAGGTGATCCCTCAGACATCTGGATACCCTCCCCTTCATGGCTGGAAGGCGTTCTTTTGTGTTTTGTCTTTGTCTTTTTTTTTTGTTGTTGTTCTGGGGATCCCTGCCTCCTTTTGTCTTTTTCTTCCTCGTGAGCTCGTTCTCCTTTCCTTCCTCTTTTGTTATTCGGAGATTTGAACTCCTGACCCATTGCTATGAGTTATAGGTGCGCGATATCCGCACCAGGACGTCACCACAATGACAGCAAATATGCATCCCCAAATTAGCCCGCTCAGAACGCACCTGAGCAGAGGAGCCAGTAGAGCCCTGGTAGATTCTGGCCGGGTTAATTTGTCCTTCCAAACAGGGGCTGCCCTTGAACCCAAATAAGCAGTCCTCTCAATATTTTGGAAACGCCAAAACTGGTGGTCGCGTTACACCGCGGCATCATCAGCGTGTGGACGAGCAGACGCCCATGTGCATTCTGACAGGGCTGGTTTTGTCTTTTCAAACACAAGGGGGCTATTCTTGCTAGCTATAGAAGATACATCCTTGCCACAGGGCCTCGCTCCACTACACAACCTCTACATGCATTTGGACGATTTCTGGATTGGACTCGTCCGTATGCACAGTGTTCAGAAGGCGTCTAAATGCATGTAGAGTATTGCGTAATGAAGCGAGGCCCATAGGTGGACAGGTATCAATCCTCGAGCCACCGACGCTCACCAGGCTCTGGGAGTATCCATTGATACACTGCCTTTGTGAACCTTGGTTGATGTGTGGCCCGGTTCGTGCTAGCATAGCACCAACATAGCACAAGTGGGACTGGCTCTTTCAGCCTGCCACTCCAGGGTAAGTAAGCATGGACTTTCAGGTCAGAGGGTGCACTGATGAGGCTCCATCTACTGGTGTTGGTCAGGAGCAACGTCTGCTGGCCACCAGGGAGAAAGTACCATCAGAACACAGTTTACACTCAGCAGATCACTGCAGCACCCATCAGAACATGACTCATCAGTCCTTCAGGGCATCCGTAAAAAGTGGAACAACATAGAGAAGATTAACATGGGCCCTGCGCCAGGATGAGACACGCGTGTGGGATACTGAACCCGGTTTCACGGCATGCCGACCGCAGTGGCAGAAAGACTGTCAAGCGAAAACATATAGGGCCTCGCCACACCAATGTCGAAACTGGAGTTTTCGACACTTTTTCTTCGCCACACAGACTGTCGAAGAAAAATGGTCGAAAACACTTCGACCATCGTCAGAGAAGTGGTTTCGACGTGGGTGTAGAACGGCCCACCTGCAGCGGTTCGAGTTTCAACATGTCGGAAACGAGGATGTGAAGGATGGAAGCAGGATTGCTCTGCTTGTTTGTTTCAGGAGTTACATATTTTTTCTAAATTTGACCTAACCCCTTCTGGGGGAATATTGCTGAAGTAATTTTTCAATGGTATCCTCTATCTTGGTCTTAGTCGTAGTTTTGCTTCTGATGGTGTTGCGTTTTGATCGTGGCCTCCGTGAGATAGTCAAGTGGAGCATCTTGTAGAGTTTTGGGGGGCTTGTTTTGAAGTAAGGGGCAAGGGGCGTGACATGATTCTTCGCAAAGGACAGAGAGGGGGGTGGAATAGGGCTGCTCGATGGGTACTGACTAGGGGGAGCTCTTATCAGATGCAATTGGCATTGGGTAGCTTAGGCCGTCTGATGGGTACCGGCTGATGAGGGGGAACTCTGGCGCGATTGGCATTGGGTAGTGCTGGTTCACCTCCTTGAGGACGGAGACTGGAATTATTGTGGGGGCAAGGAATTTCAGGGTGATGATGGTGCTCAGCCCCTACTAAGATAAGGTCCTCGGGAGTTCCTTACGAGGACGGAGTTTGGAAGGACGGATGAGATTTGGATGGAGGAAGTTGGTGGTGGGTGCGATTAGTGCCGAGTATCTTGGCGGGTACCGGCCACTGGCCACTAACTCCACCTAGATCGACTTGAGGTTTTTCCTGTCGATGATGGAGGCAGGATTGTTCTCGTAGTCGGTAGGTTCTGGGATCAAGCAGATTTACTGACATAGTATAGTCCTTTTCAGTTTCATTACCATCAAAGGACGTTCCTTGCTCAGTTAATCCCCTGGATTCCAGGGTAATCAATGCTGGCAAGGGGAGGTTCTCTTAACTTTTCTCAAAAAAAAATCCTTGTTAATGCGTAAATGTCCTTATGGGACGTTGGACCCGGTTTCCAGCACGTGCTGCTCCCCACGAATAAATTGGAGCATTTGTCCTAAAGAAAAAAAAAAACAAAGGTTGGTGCTTACCAACCATTTTGCTCGCGAAAAAAAAAAAAAAAAAAAAAAAAAAAAAAAAAAAAAAAAAAAAAAAAAAAAAAAAAAAAAAAAAAAAAAAAAAAAAAAAAAAAAAAAAAAAAAAAAAAAAATTTTTTTTTTTTTTTTTTTTTTTCTGTTTTCTAACAACGAAAGGTTGTTTATTCTGGGTCTTTGATATACGGTATGGCAAAGGCAGTCTTTGTGTCGAAACGGTGAATGTTGAAAATGGTCTGAAAGTTTGTGAATATTTCACCGTTTCAACACTGGTGTGGCGAGGTCCATGGGGTGCATGTCTCTGCACGACGCGCTACCAAAATATGGGGGATGAAATTTGAAACCCCCTCGACCGAGGTGGGTTGAAGGGTCCATTGAATTAATTTCACATTGTCGTCTAAACCTGAAAACAAAGTATATGCCTTGTATATGGGGTACCTCGTATTCAAATACAAAGTAGGTAACTTGTAGAACGAAATTTATGGCGCAACTTTCCTAAGGCGAGGAGGGGGGGGGGGAATCCAAAAATGAGGAAACTACGCGGGAGTCACAAAAATTAGTTATAATTGCACTAGAGACAAAGATACATTTTCCAATTGCAGTTGGGGCAATGTATAGTATTTGTATACAACCCGAGTTTCTGGTCAGGTAGGGTACCTGAAGTGCAATTATAACTCATTTTTGTGACTCTACTGAAGTTTACGCATATAGTAAATACTAGTAATTAGACAAAAAATAGACAAAAAAAAAAACCGCACCTGTGTCGTCGTAAGTAGGCCTGTCGGGGATGGTGGTGGGCCCTGTCATAGAGGTTGCTCATATTATATCCATACGGCCTCTACTATTGTTCATGCGCGGTAAAAAAAAAAAAAAAAAAAAAAAAAAAAAAAAAAAAAAAAACCAATATATCTCAAATAAGGCACACCTCGAATACAGCATACGTACCTTGTATTTGACCTTTATTAAAAAATCTAACAGTGATTTCTCATAACCCATTTTTTGAAGGTAACTTGAATACAAGGTATGTAATATGTACCTTGTTTTTTAGTTAAGACGATAAGTTGCATATGGATTGACTTACTATGCGGGCACGAGTGTG